AGGCAAGTGTGTGCCACACATTTCCGTGCCTGCACGCATGCGTGAGCTGTTGTGCGTGTGTGTCTGTGTCTGTGTCTGTGTCTGTGTCTGTGTCTGTGTCTGTGTCTGTGTCTGTGTCTGTGTCTGTGTGTGTGCGTGTGTGTGTGTGTGTGGATGTGTGTGTGTGTGTGTGTGTGTCTGTGTCTGTGTCCGTGTCCGTGTCCGTGTCCGTGTCCGTGTCTGTGTCCGTGTCCGTGTCTGTGTCTGTGTCTGTGTCTGTGTCTGTGTCTGTGTCTGTCGCTGTGGCTGCGTCTGTGTGTGACTGTGTGAACTGCCCTAGTTCATGGGCCGTTTGCTTCTTCGCTGTCATGTCTTGGGCAGGGGGGCGGAGGGGGTGTAAGGGGAACTCCGTCCAACGAAGCTCTCCCCTACACCCAAGAAAACGTACTTGCTTCGCGAGCGCCTGTGTTCTGAGAGGTAGTTGGCGGGGCACTCATCTTCATTTTGACTTTTGTCTCATCTCCTGCTGTGTGATTCGCTGGGGTCTCACACAGGGCGGGCAGGACCCATACCCTCAAGGATCATCTCATCTTGGTTTTGCTTTGTATGCTACTCCTCAGGTCTGGCATACATGGTACCCAAATTTGGGAGGGAGGGGAGGGGAGGGGAACAATCTGCTTGAGAGAGGGGGGCAAAACCTTGAATTTCATCAGCTCCTGCAAGCGCTCAAGCGTGAAAGACAGCAGGACTTTCTGCAAGGATGTTGAAAGCTTGCCAGGTTCAAAACACACCGTCTCTCCGAAAACAGGCACTCAGCTTGAAAGCCTGGAAGACGAGGGTGCCAATCGAGAACAGATCCTGCCGATCCAGTTTATGGCATTGCAGCTTCAGCATTAGCATTGGAAGTGACAAATCAAATCAGAAGCAGCAGTGATACACCCTGATACACCTGTGTAGTTCTTGTTCAGACAAATAGGTTAACATTGCAGCATCCGTTCTTGACATCACACATCAAATCCGATTTTCGATTTTTCCCTAGGCTATTGCAGGCAGCGCCATTAGTAGCGCAACAAACTTCCAAGACGACGAAGACAACTTTGGGAACCTCCAGCAACACGACAGGGGTCTACATGGCGAGATGAAGAAGGAGTGGGATTCCTAGATCTTTAGGGCGGGCTTCCCCGAGTTGCATGTCGCGGAGGTCTACCAAGGCCTGCGGCATCAACCAATGCTGCTGATCTTGTCTCAGCCGCACCCAACCTCAGCCAGCGGTCATCTACATGGCTGGGCGTCGCATTCGCAGCAAACTCGTGCGCGCGGCATGTATTCGTGGAGCTCCCCTCGACGAATGGGATCCCATCGGAAGTCGATAAGCAAATCAAAGCAAATCGATTCCAAGCTCATACCACGATTCACTGATGATGATCGACCCTCCCAGCGTCCTAGCCTGCAGAATTCCGGCATTAGATTGCCTCATCTACACGCTCTAGACTCTAGCTTGCCTCATCGTCCAAGCGAGGAATCAGTGCGAACCTGTGGCTCCATCCGGAGCTAAAGGTGAGATGTGGATTCAGTTGCCTCTGCCAAGCTGCCTCTCTGCTCTGACTCAGACGACTGCTCGCCTCAGATCGCGGCTGCAGAAGCACGCTGTCTGAAAAGAATGATAAGCCCCAAGCCTCGGGTCCTTCAGCTTCAGCTAAACAAGCGGGATGCTGATGCGCCTTCACCTGGTACAGCCTATTATTGCCTCCACGTCTGCGGCTACTTTGTGCGACAACCCCAATTCGTGCCCACGCAAGGTGAGACTTCGCACGAAGAGACTGCAATATGCTGCCGGGTTTTGAGGTGCAGCGTGCTTGGAACTTCACGCGGTCAAGTCTAGGCTCTGCAGCGAAATAATGTAATGGGTGGGCGGATCCTGGGTAGAGGCTCGCAAGACCACTACCTCGAGACAGCCGAGTACAGTAGACCTCCATCCAGCACCACCGCTATGGGTGCACGCCGTTCTCGCCGCCCAAAACTTAAGGCACCGCGACTTGAAATCCAATATGATCCCGACGTTGATACCCGTGTCAAGAAGGCGGCAAAATTCTCAATATCACAACCCTCCACAGCTACACAACTCAGCAGGCAATAAACTGAGACGACCGTTCCAGTACTAGTGCTAGTCTGCTAGTAGCCTGCAGAGCTGGCAAATTACCCTCGTACAGTTGGTGGCGCATGCCGGGCCGACTTCTGGTGAGATCCATCTTGCAGGGAAGCAGTTGCGATCGGGAGCCCGGCTAAAGTGCACGTAGTATCTTCCGAACGAGTAGCCTCGGAAAGCTCCGCAGACTGTGAATCGTTTTCGGGCTCAGCTCATTGCTGTGATAATCCGCGAAAGCCGGGTTCATTTTTCCTCCCGAGCTTACTAGACACTGATAGTCGGGGCTTGTGCACTCGGCTTGGGCAGTGGCATTCAGTCTATGGGGCTGTCACTACTTGAAGCCCTCAGCTCTCACCTTGAACTCTGAGGCTCTCGCAAAGGTTTATCGCACATGCATGTACTTTCAATGGGAGCAAAGCGCGGCTTCCAAAGTTTTTTTCGATGCATCAGTGAAAAATTGCGACTCTGGTGCGTCTCACAGCAATTCGGGGAAGACCCCCGATCTCGGCGCGGTCCGTCAAGACCCCGAGAGGGTAGCCGAATCTGAAAGACAGTGTGAAGTGAGGACCAAGGCAGAGACCGATTTTCAACTGCTCAGGATACTGCCAGCCAGATATGAGAGCCTGCAAGAGGTCGGACGCCATCTCAAAGAATGCAAACGTATACCATGTGCTTAGCTTATGCCCGGCATTTGAAGTATATTCGTGAAATTGAGATCTACCCAACCAGAGCATGCGCCTGCCCCACCGGAACGTCCTCGAGCAGCCAGTGAACATGCAGCTTCGATGCACTTGTCAGCCACTCTTGTCTGACCATTGCAATAATTTATGAGTCTTCTGTTCGAGGGGGTTGCGAGCGCTCGATGAGTTTGGGGAGTATGCACAGCTTTCCCTACAGGCACAGGGCGTGCAAACAACTTTTTCACCGATAGCCGGCTCAAGGATGGAGCTGTTGCCGGGACAACTGGTGCACCTGGCAGAATCCAATACACCCAATCACCAACCCTGGCAGTACAACACTTCAAACCGTCAATCTCGAAATTTAAATCCTGTGCGAGCTGCAGACCACAACTACATTAATTAAACAAGTTTCAACTTAGCCTGGGCACAAACCTCCTCCGCCTCCTGCTCCTGAGAACATATATGTCTGTGTATGTGTATAAGTATAAGCTCGCCCCCCCCCCCCCCCCNNAGATCCACGCATTCGTGGTTCATGGGGCATGGGGTGCACGAAGCACTGAAATGCTCAAAAACTTCCAAATTTTCTCCTCCCCAACCTCCCGAAACCCTGTACTGCTCAAAAAGTTCAAAATTCCAGAATTCTAGCATCTATGTCCAGGCCAGGACCAGAATCCCAAAAAAATTTTGGATTTTTTTGAGCATTACAGTGTTTCGTGAGTTCTGGGGTTGGAAAATTTGGAAGTTTTGAGCATTACAGCGTTTTGTGAAGTTAAGGCCACGAAACACTGTAATGCTCAAGTTTCATGAGTTTTGAGGGCTGGAAATTTTGGAATTTGAGCATTGCATTGTTTCGTGGCCTCAACCTCACAAAACTCTGTAATGCTCAAAAAAATCCGAAATCTTGGAGATTTTGCACCCCGCCCTGGCCATACATATCAAAGTTTTGGAATTTGTTGAATCTTTTGAGCATTATAGTGTTTCGTGAGTTTTAGGATTGAAAATTTCGGAATTTTTTGAGCATTACAGTGCTTTGTGAAATTCAAGCCACGAAACACTGCATTTGCAAGCCCCCGGTTTAGAAACCGAGAGCTTGGTTCGCATGCGAATTTCCGCGTGATTGTTGCTTTCCTTTGTGGTTCTTGCTGCCGTCGATCCGGCTATCGTACTACCCAGCCCGATACGATCTCGACATGATTTAGAAACAGCTTCAAACAAAAAGATATGATATGATCCTTTTAGTGAAGCCCGACACCCTTTCTGGTGCTTTGATTCGACCAGGTCCAGATTTCAATCTTCATAGGCCCCAAGGCCAGAACACTTCCCCCCAGCACCCGACAGCCTTAACATGATCCTAGATCTGCCTTGGCAGAGATCTGCAGACCAAACCTGTGCCAAGATGCTTCACAAGTGTGCCAATGGTTGTTTTATCGGCTTCTGCTGGGGTGTTTTTTTCGACTTTTCGACGTTTCGGGTTTCTTGCACTTTTCGGGCATTTCGGGCTTTTCGACTTTTCTGGTTTTCTTGCACTTTTCGAACTTTAGGGCGTTTCGACGTTTCGGCTTTCGGGTTTTCCTGTACTTTTCTGAGTTTTTGGGTTTTCGGCGTCTCGACTTTTCGGGTTTTCTTGCACTTTTCTGACTTTGCGGGCGTGTCGACTTTTCGGGTTTTTCGCACAAGTTTACAACTGTTTTGCTTTTCGACTTTTCGCGTGCAGTTTGGCATTCTCCTTATCCGCGCCCGCTGCCGTTCGCAAACTCTTCAAACACCACCGCATCGCATCAAGATCAAAACAAATCGCATCGTGACTGATTGTATTCAACCTGTATCCAAGTCGCGCAACCCGAGTAGTATTCAAATAGGATTTGAAGAGTATATGCCTCAAAAGGGACCACAAGCAGCTTCTAACCACAGCTCCTACCACAACACAAGTTAAACTCGTATCACCAAGTGTTTCCCCAACTCAACCTTGGGCTCATCCTTAAAGCCTCATGAAGGATGCGCTACGTGTTCGCGCTGGTGTCGGGTCTACTTGCCGCCAGAGCGCCTAACTACCGGCTGGTTATGGTCCGACACCCTTGCGAATTCGTGCACTCAACTGTCTTCTGCTCACAAAATCGATAGGGTTCCAAGTTGCAGGCCTTGGCGGTGGGCCGTAGCACGCCAGGAGCCGAAGGAACCATCAGCGGACCATTTACTGTGTGGCGACTGACCTGATTCGGGGCCTGGGGGTGTCCCTGACCCCGCAAGTTTTCTGGGTGTCTGTTGCGTGCAGCTGTAGACCTTGCCTCTGGACGATTTCCCAAAAAAAACAGAAGCCCTGTTTTCCAGCTCGACTCCAGCTCTGCCCTCCAGCCGTTTCGTCCAGGGAGATTTACGCGAGAACGTCGCGCTCCATCGAATTTCCGGCATCAGAGTTCCGAAAGCGTCGCAGCAACCCTCTGCCAACCTTGAAGGACTGGGATAACCGCAAAGCCGCACCTGGGGCCGGAGGTTTTCCCAGCCCGGGAGCGCGGAAGGCAGCGTCGTGCGGATCGGCAGCGCCACCCTGCTTGAATTTCGGGAGAATAAAGCTCCGAGGTCCCACGGTGATCAACTCTGGGCGTCTCAACCCCGAATCCCTGACTGAAATGTGATTCCGACATCCCTCTCGAAGATTAGAGAGAGCAGCGAGGTAACACCGAACATCGTTCCATCCACCCATCCACCCACCCACCCACCCATCCATCCATCCATCCATCCATCCATCCATCCATCCATCCATCCATCCATCCATCCATCCATGCATCCATCAAACTCATCCATCCATCAAATCCATCCATCCGTTCATCCATCCAACCATCCACACAACCCCTCGACGTTAGAGCCTTCTACAACCCCGATAAGCCCTTTCATAAACCCAACTACACTGCCCTGCACAACCCCCCGTGGCGAGATGTAGTACGGATTGAGGAGAACCGCCAACATGTTTCCCCCAAATACTGGCGGAATTCAGAAACATGACCGACATATTCCCAAGTATTGGCGGGATTCAGACAGCTCGAAACCAAAATCAGACAGCTCGAAGCTAAAATCCGTGCGGCAGGCACGCGCAGAACACCTGCAGCACCGTTTCGAAAGCAATGTGAGGCCAATGTCTCGATCGCACTAGGCCAATGTCTTGATCGCACTGGCCAGAGGACGCGGATGCGCCGGTATGCGCCGGTGGCACCGAGAAGGTCGTCAGTTCAAGACCAACATAAGGCCAATTGTGTGAACTCACAATGGATCGCGCTGATCCGGAGGATGCGGACGCGCCGGGTCCCCCAAAACGGCTGTCAATTCTCAAAATTCGGTTCACGAATTTCTGAATTGTCAGGGCAGCAAGATAGCGTGGCGCCATCGGCCCCCGGGAGGTTCGAGAATTGCCAGAACCACGACAAGAAAAACCACACACGACTTCACGATGTGCAGCGACTCCCGACCTCACGCAAACCCAAGCCCAGCAAAACACTTCGCCATGCTTTCGGTAAACATAACACCACCCAGCTGTTCCAAGCGCAAGATTCCAGACTCCGCAATTGGCCTAAATTAGGCTAATGAGGTCTGGGAAAACATGGGCGAATAGAAACAAAGTACTCTGACGGGCTCCAACATGCTCCAACTGCTTGATATAAGATTCCTCAGACGTCCAGGCCCTTTTCTGGGGACCCTCATCGAGGGCTGCCATGGCCCTCTTGCGTTGAATGGAGCCCCGTGTTCTGTCGCCTGCGCACCACGCTGTGCGAAACCGGCTCAAAGCTGAGGACTGGAGCCTCGGCGAATAACACTACCATATAGACGTCTAGACTATTGGCTGCACGGGAAGGCTCCCAGTCCCAGCCTGGGGCCTGGCTCACACAGATCGCCGGGCACTGAACGGACTTCGGATATCTCAGGTGGGGCTTAAATCAGGTATTCGCGTCCTCGTGCACTCGTGGCGCGGATTGGTCTGAGGAAGCAGGCTGCGAATTGAATGGTGGTCAGAAACGGCAAGTGAAGAACATGGAAGTCCGGGCTCCGGACCTGCAGCGGGGCAGGTACCGACACCGGTGGTGCAGCCTCACCGACAGATGAAGGAACTTTAATAGTGTTCCCAGCTCGTAAATCCCGGAAATGATGGGGAGTCAGAGGTCTAATTAGGGATTGGAGAACGAGCAGCATCGAAACTGCTAAGGCCACCATCGATTTGCAAGACCCTGCAACCAACATCAGGAAATTGACCCAAGCTCGGTAGCCCTGCAGGTTCAATGCTGAAAGTAGACTAAGACCATGCGGACGCACAGCTGAGGTCGTTCTCAACCACTCATTGTCAGAAGGACAAGACACGGGCCCAAACATCCAACTGGAACGAACGAGCACTGAAGCCAGCAAGGACAGATGTGACAGAAACCTACAAAACCACTGGCTTTGCTCTTTTTTACTAAGACTACGAATGCATGCTTTGCAAAATTACTTCCTTCAGCGGATATTTACGTACATGTACAACTGCAACAACTTTCTGTGCGTGAGACTCCCTTATCGGCGGATAGACAGACAGACAGACTGGGCGCCCAACGTCCTTTGACGCTGCAGGCATCATGACCGCAGGCACCGGGGAAAGAGAAAGCCGGCCTGCCACGTCAAACTACATCCGCGAAAATTCTGGTGCGGGGAACCAGGAAGCATCAACGTGCTTGTCAGTCGGTGGGCTCTAGCTTGGAGCTTGGAGTGTCGGAGGTGTCCACTCGTCTATAGACCCTGTGGAAACTATTCAAACGAACCTCTATGCCTTGCAATGCGTACTATTTCTGCACCCTCAACCCGAAACCCAACCGATACAGCAAACTGCAAGCCCCTGCAAGAGGCCTCCTGCCCGAGGTTGAGGCGAGACCGACCGTACCAAGCGCAGAGAGGGATCTCGGGAACATGCCGCTCTAACTGGTGCGCTTCGCGAAATACCGGTGTTGCAAGTCGAGTTCGGGTGATGAACAAAAAGATTACGTGATGCTCGCCATCGTGCATCTGTCGTCCTGCCTATGAGTACATCCGTCTGTGTCCTTGTCATTATATCTGCGCAGAATTGTCTTCAGCAAAGAGTAGAGCAGTCGCCATGTCCAGGCGTTTACACACACACACACACGCACACGCACGCGCAAATGCACACGCACACGCACACGCACACGCACACGCACACGTGCACGCGCACGCGCACTCGCACGCGCACGCGCACGCGCACGCGCACGCACACGCTCACGCGCACACGCACACACACACACACACACACACACATATACACACTCCCCGCACCAACAGCAAATCCGGCAAGTGCACTTCATGCCTCACAAGCTGCACAAACCTGCGTGATTAGATCCGGGTCGCGATTCGGACTCCTCCGGGCTGGTGCCGGCGAGGCACCTGCTCCTGACGGTGGCATTCCAAGAGTGCCGACCCATCACAGGCAGGGTTTGTCTGATGGCTTTGCTGTGGTGAGGGTCTCGCAGAAGGTGCGGCGCAGGTTTAGACTCCTGGTTTTACATTTAAAGGCTTCGGAGTTGTCGCTCTAGCAAGCAAACCGCAGATTCAGGGATCAGAGTCTGGCTCATGGCAAGTGTCTGTGAGATACGGACTACCCTGTTTTCGTGCTTCGGATTTCGGATGCAGAATCGACAAACCCAACATGAACTGTTGCTAGAAGGATGGGCAGCACCGCCAGACGTGTTGGCACTGTTTGCCCAGCTTCTCTTCCCCAACTTGCGGCCTACGACGGCCAGCAGGCCCCGTTTCTGGATCGGCACACCTGACATGCGGAAAGCAAACCCCAGACCACGAGTTCTAAACCCGCAGCGCTCATCGCGCAGCGTCTCAGCCATCCTGAACCCTATCAATCCGAAGAGCCCCATTGCACTGCAGACCTTGAGGAGTGCGACAAGTTGGAAGCCCCAAAACATCCCAAACACGCGAACCGTGATCCTCTGCTCGATGGCAGACTGCATAAACTCAGACAAATCACGTGTGCCATAGGAGGGCCAGTTCGCCGTCTGCAAAGCTGAAACCGGGTAGGTCACCTTTGTACCGAGCTGAAGGCTCTAGTTCCGTGACGGTGACGGCAAAGCAACAGAGTGGTTTCGCACGGGCTACTTCTCCAAGTTAGGGCCAGAAATGACTTAGCACGACCAGCGACTTTCGAATCATGTCACGGACGTGCCAACAACTTCACAAGACTGGCACCTCCATGTGGCCTGTCCCTTCGGGGAGCTGGCGCGCACTCCCAACAGCCCATCCGCAGCCCGGGCAGTGCCGAATCTGAACCGCAAAGCCCTTGTACTGCTATAGGTCTGTCACGACCACAGCCAAAGCAGTCACCATGGCATTTGGGTCCCTTGAAGGAGCTGCAAGCAATGGTCGCGCGACACCCATACCGCTTCATAAGAAGGCGATGGTGGATGCTGACTAATGGTGCTGGGAAGGAAGACGATGAAGACAACGATGATGATGATGATGATGATGATGAAGATGAAGATGAAGATGAAGATGAAGATGAAGATGAAGATGATGATGATGATGATGATGATGATGATGACGGCAATGGTGATGACGATGGTAATGATGGCGATGGTAGTGGTGAGGATGGTGATGATGGTGATGATGGTGACGAAGATGATGGCGATGATGATGATTATGGTGATGATGATGATGATGATGATGATGATGATGATGACGGCGATGACGATGACAACGATGATGATGATGCTGGTAATGACGGTGGTAGTGATGAAGATGTTGATGACGATGATGATGATGATGGTGGTGGTGACAATGATGATGACGACGATGACGATGACGATGGTGATGAATATGACGATGATGATGCTGCTGATGATTATGGTGATGTTGAGTAATATTATAAAGTAGTATTGTGATTCTGCGCGGGAGGAGGCGGATGAGGAGGATTCTGATGATGGCGATGGTGACGAAGATGATCTGATGACGGCGACGACGACGAAGATGATGGTGAAAACGATGTTGACGATGATGATGGTGCTGACGACTAAGACATTGTTCATGATGATGACAGTGAAAATTGTGATGGGATTGTGAGTAGTCGTCATGATGATGGGGATGATGGTGTGGCGATGAAGATAATGCAACAAAAAGACTATGACGACAATTTGCGAATGAGGCGTAGGAGACTGGCGGCAAGGAAGAGGAGCAGAGGAGTAGGAGGAGCAGAAGGAGGAGGAGGAGAAAGGGGGTGGAGGATTCCGTAGTTCGTGCTGGGCGTTTTTGGTGATACTATTGGTGCTGGTGGGGTTCTCTTGCCCTCAAAGACCAACTTGCTTACTACACACACCAGCAAGTGCAGGCTGGCTTTACAATGCAACGAGAAAGCTGCGGCTACTGCCTGCGACCGAGCGACAGGCTCGCATATCGACACCACAGGTCCCTCAACCGCCTCCGGAACGAAGGGCTGTTTGGCTCCATAGCTTCAAGTGAATGCACTTTGCCTCGACCGCGCTGTTGGTCTCGTTCTACACTGGTTTTAGCAGAATTCACAATGGCAGTAAATCTTGCAAATCCGAGGGTTGCCCTAGCTCAATTAAGCTCATGTTGTGGGATCCTTCTATATTCAGATCACAAGCGAGTGCGAGAAGTCTGGACGAAGCAGAAACAAGGCTAGTTAGTACTGTGATATGTCACAACATGTTTCTGCCCAGCTCTAAACGTCTTAACTCTTTCTAAGACCTGTATGAGGGACTGCCAGGTAACCTAACGTTGCTGACACGCATCTGTATTTTCTGCTGGCGAAGAAACATTGTCACTATCATGCATATCATCAACACTGCCACGGCCCGGTTCTGAAGCGAAGCTTTAAGACAGTCAGGGCTTTCACTGACACACAACACCCTGACTAGGATCGCAGGAGTGCCTGGGAAAAGCCTGAGATTTGGAAAGAAGCTGGCCAATCTTGACCATTCAAAGCCAGGATGTGCGCAAACAAGCTCCAAAATAGGAGGCTCAAACAAAGGATTCAAAGGATCATACTGCTGAACATGTCAAGAAACTACTATGCCAGCGCACATCCTCAAACAGTGATATTGCACCAGGACGACCATGACGGCCACGACCACGACGACCAGGACCCCTACGACAACTACTACGACCCTGCGTATTTCAATTGCTACGCCTCATCTGAAAATAAGAAAACACGAATTCAGGAACTGCAACAGATAGGAGAAAGATAGAAGCCCCAAGAAAGAAACAGGAATAATTCTAAATTAATGGGGACGGCAGGAGAAACAACAAGAGAACAATGGGAGATCTCGGGATACTGGTACGACCTGGGCAAGCTATCGTGTCTTCAGCTTCTCTCATTGTTCCTGGCCTTTTGTGATTTCCCTAGAGTGGTAACTATGTTTCACTTTTTCAGAAGGGGTTCTCGTAATTTCGACGATTGACCCAACGCCTTGCCTATGGATTTCTTAGGTTGTCCTAGGCCTCATCGATGATCCTATTTGCGCCTCGGTTCGTCTCTGGCGTTTCTAAATGTATGTCCTGCGCATCTCTTATAGTTCTGTTAAGTTCTCCTATTTTTCTTAGCTTCTATGATCACTGAAAGGAACTGGAAAAGCCTCTGATTTTCTGCGATTGGTCGGTGTGTGTTACTGCAGTTTCTTGGGCTTTGTAAATGTTCTATTCGTTTTCATAGTTCTTGCTATGTTTCCTAGCCGTTGTTCTACGGCGCTGATATGTTTTCTAAAAATGTTTCTTCTATTTTGCTCAGCTCCTATTCTTCCCATGGTACTTCTGTGTTTTTGTCATGTCCTATCTGTTTCCTATCATTGAAAAGCACGATTCCTATGTTATCTCACCTAGGGTTTGACATATTTTAGGATTTGACTAGAATCAGCACGCGATATGGACATGACACTGCGACCACGACCAGGTGCACCACGACGACGAGAAGATTATCAGGAGACCACCCAAAGACCACCAAAATACGGTACCACCCCCCCTCCCCCCATGTACTGCCTGCAAGCACCAGTACTACAATTCTTCCGAGCCCTGTCGGCATGTCGAAGCAAACGTGAAGCCAATGCATTGGCAATAAATCGCACGTCCCTCTCAGACGGGGCCACGTCCCATCCGCAGTGGAAGCTGCGGGAACAGCAAGCCATTCCTCTTTTAAAGAAGAACACAAGAACACAAGAACGCTGGGGAAGAATCGCGCGGAACCAAGCTAAGTCTGCAAGATTCTGCGAGCCTTCGGAAGCTCCTCGGAAACCAAGCGCTGCCCCCCGGAACTGAACTCTCCAAAGCCTACAAAAGTCCCTTGCAGTCCCTTTCCATTCTTGAGTTTGTGCCTGGAAGATCGGGGCATTAACGGCGGCTGGCCTTGCCTGCACTTCGTTGAGATGCTGTGGCGTTGACATTCTTGGGCAACTGTCGTTGTGACGGTTTTGTGGCATCGTTTGGGCGGAGGGTTGGTGTGCGTGCTTCTAGAGAACGGGGCCTTAAGTGCGTGTTGAGCCCGAGCCGTGAAAGCTGCCGGTTCCCTTGAGCCTCCGCACCGTCGCCGCCAGCACCAGGCCTCCGACCCCCCCTTACTGCCAAAGTGGGTACATTTGGGTAATTGGGCTGCCGGTTGCTATCGTCAGGGGTCCTACGATGACCTACGACGATATCAACTGTTCAAGTATGTTAAAGTTATTATAAACTAAAGACCTCAGAGATAAGACTGGTTGCACGTAGTTCGCTGTACTCACAGATTGAAATGCTCAGTGTCAAAGCTGTGGATTTCGTTAGTGTCAATCAACCAACGATCACGATGCTGCCTTGGAGTGATCATGAGTAGATGCAAAATGCACTTGGCAAGCGGGCATAAACTCGGTAGGGCGTTCGTGCACGATGCGCTCTCGCCATTCCAACGTCATTCGTGGAAGTGAAAAGTGCCTGAAACCCAGGCTTCAGAACCGTTCATGCATTGGCGACCAAGAAATAGCCGAAACCGAAAGCGCGGTTCCTGCACTTCGAGTGCCACGTGCCACAGCGGGAACGTCGTTTTGACAGAGCTGAAACCGGAACATGGTCCCATTCCGAGGCTGCAGTCCAAAAACCGCGCAACACCGTGCAAACAGGGGCGGAGGTTTAGCTAGGGATTGGGGCTACCCATGGCTCATGCAGTTGAAATCCAGGCCCACGAGTCAATTGCTGGACATGCTGGACCCGATGAGAGCTGGATCTCCGCCCAAAATTGGCAAACCGTCGAAGCAGCAGCAAGTAGTGGCAGCAGCGGCGCATGCAATGTTCCTAGAGCAGCACTGGTCATACTGGCCATGCATGCCATAACAAGCAGAGGGGTTATAACTTACAACCGGCTCCCCGATTGCAGCAAACACCCTTCCTACGCCTTCCGAAGTTGCAACAACATAACGCAGGTTTGTACCCTGGGGAAGTACTGAATAGGAACCTAGAATCAGTCAGAAGATGTTAGAAGGCTTCGAACCAAGCAGAAAGCTCTAGCCTGAACAAAAGACCCCGGAAACAACAAAAAACATCGGGAGTAAACGAAAGCCCTGCCCTGAAACAGCGGTCTTGGAAGGGCAGAGGAGGAGAGGAGACCGCGAATCTGATGGAAACGATTCCCATCTCGCTTATCGCATCAGAGCACGTCGCAGGAGCTTGACATTCTCGGCTGCTTCCGACTGCTTCCCACGTTTGCATAGCGGTGGGACCCCAGCCACCGCCACAAGCTTCAGAGATTAGGGCACAAATTTCAAGCCTACCGAGTTCAGTGCCCCATGATCTGAGGTTGCGAAAGGCCGGTGCACCCCCCCTCACGTGCGATGGGCTGCGTCCCTCTCATGCCGCAGGAACGGCTAGCAGCTACCGGGTCTCATGCTGCAAGCACACTGTCAACCCCCACATGGGCACACCTTTTGTGTTTGCCGAGGCTGTCCGCTACGCCTGTCCATTGTACGGGTTTTGGTTGAAAGTACGAATGTGACCTGCAGTTCAGATGCACAACTGGCGTTCATGTCGGTGCACAGGAGCCGTGGCAACAATGATGCCATACAGGCAGCAGATCTGTGGCACGTTGCATGAGGCGGGCCTTTTCGGGTTGTGGGAGAGGCGGAGACCCGGCCATGGACATCAGTACAGCATTCCTGACGTCCTGTAATCCAGCCGCGCTGTCTTCTGATTCTGAACGCTTACGTACCGTCAAGCAAAAACTTGCTGTGTCCTTCACATCATGCATGGGGACTCTGAAAAAAGTCTTCGATTGAGCAATGACACAGCACCGATGACACAGGACCCGTTCCGTGGACATCAAAATTGATTTTTCGTAATCAGACTGACAGAAGATGACAGAAGCGAAACGGGGCTTGGGATTTCGGCTCGACATAATATGTATTAGGCGAGTGAGTTATTGTTGGGGCATGCTTTTCGCCGGGCGCCTTTGCTGTTGCAGATCGCCGTTCGGTGCCTGCAAGTGGAGTACATGAACACGGCTCCGTGGCGTGCAGGGTATGATTACGGTCTGCTTCCAGCCGTCAACCCAACACAAAAAATGGAAGAGAACCAAGCAGCACTCCGAACAAGAACAACAAGGTTTGGGACAAAGACTGTGCCCGCTCCTTCTCATGCCTTTGAAGCTGATGCCGGCCGTTCTGCAAGAGCTTGGCCCACCTTTGCAGCTGGTGGGCACATATGGCATCCCGGCTCCAGTGCCACGCCGGGCTGCACAACAAGGCTGCAGTCAGTTGCTAGTCTTCTCCACGAAGAGCTTGTATGCAAACAGTGTAGGATTTGAATGCGTCTTGGAGCATCAGTCAACAGCTCATCCCTTCCTTGAGAAATCGTGGTTGTGATATTACGTAACATTGACAATCTCAGATGCGGACCAGGACAAGGGCGATAGATCCATGGCGGCCACGAGGTCAATATCGTCACTCCTTGTCACGCAGCAGGCATGTAACAACAACAACAACAACAACAACAACAACAACAACTGACAATTTCAGCAGGCCGTCATTTCACAGATCTCCAGATGATACGCATATCATAAAGCCGGCTCCAGGATTCTAGGGCATGCGCAACTCAAGAAACTCCCCCGGTGAGCATTCGTTACGCGGTGCTAGAGAGCTCTTGCGCAGAAGGGCACCACGAAAACTGAAATGCCGTCGTGCCCAAGCGACCACCAGGCTTACGTTCACGAACCACGCCTGCTAGCAATGCATACTGCTCGGCATCCGGTAACACAGACATATTCAAACATGGTCGCCGTCTCGAGGCGCGGTGCATCAAGTAAAGACTAAATCGCCGACGGTCGGCAGGTAACCAACGGAAAGGGTGAGAAGGCTTCAGTTCGAACACCGGTACAATCTCGCAGTCCGGGATTCAGCAACAAAGAAACAGATCGGATTTCGATTGAAGCCATCCAGCGAAGCCGAGGCCCTGGGCCCGATCACAAAGCCTTACCGCGCAAAAAAACCCTGTCACGTCCTCGACTGCGGGGAGCTGGACTTGGTCCGCCTCGTCGTGGCCGTGGGCCTCTGCGCGCTCGGCCATGTCTCTTTGGAGAGAGATGGCTGGAAGCCACTTCCCCCCTTGGAGCTTTCTCTTTGCATCGAGCATTCAAGTCCCGTTTCTGTCAAGATGCGAGTCCATGCCGCTTGTGCAGAAGGCAAGCCTGCCAGACTTTCCCCGACCTCGGCCGAAGTTCTACCAGTCTACCTCTGAGCTCATCTACAAGCGGGTCAATTGTCGGGAGCTTGGATGCAGCACGCCCATGGGCTGGGCTGCGAACTGGAAAGCACACACGTACGTGTAGACTCAGACGCTCAGACCCGAAACCCTAAAACCCAACCCCGCCTGAACCCCGAGATGCTACAACTCAAATTAGCACGCCCGCCGATTCATCCAGATTCCAGCTCAAGTCTGACTCAAATCTTTCGAATGCAGCCGCAACAGAAGTCAGGAAGGGTGAGGCCCCGACCACGGAGTTCAGGAGGCGCCTCGCGGAGGCCGTGTCGTTTATGCGTTCAGAAGGCGCCTTCTGCGGGCGCCCTAAGACAAGGACGTCTGCGCGAGCGCCTCGGCCTTGGACTCCGACTCGGCTCGTTTCCGCAGGGCCTCGAACGCACCAAAAAGAGCGGGGAGAGCGCCTAAAAATGCCCTAAACCTTCGACCTCCAGAGGTCGCGAAGTAACGGAGCCTCAGCACTAGACCGTACAAGTTCTAGAAGCATGATCTGCCGGAAACCGGGAACCTGAAACCGTCTGAAGCATTACAGTAGCACCCGAGGCCGCAGATCCTGTACGTGCGCGGATACCCAGAAGTTCTTGCCACACGCAGCCTCGGCGAGATGCAGCCACTGGCGCAGCTCAGCGAAGCGCGGCGCCGTGAAGCGAATCTCCGGAAGATTTGGGACTTGTGTCTTGGGCGAGGGATTGGCCTCGGAGTTAGCTTTGCAGACTTCCCGGAACGCACCATGTGCAACAGGACCAGTCTGCTCGAACTCGCGGGAGGCAGAAGTCCAGTTGCTGTGCCTCGGACGAATCGAGCTGTCCAAGCTTGCTGCGAAACTTGAAACAAGTGAGCCTTCGAAGCAGTCAGCGCCGTCATGTTCGTCATCACCAGCATCATCTATGGCAGCATCATCCCTTTTCTATTCCTCCTTCCCCTCCATGTCCTCGGCATCATGCCCTTGTCGAAACGACATGGCCACCGTCACAAACACGTCCCTATCCTTGTGAGACCTCGCATCCAACAGAATAAGCATTGGGCTGAATTGGGCACACCAAGAACTGACACACATGTGCGTCTGCATGCCGACATGTTAACAGGTTCTTTGAAAGATGTTGCCACGTTGCAATGCATCGCTGTTGTTCTTTTGCATGTGGCCGCCACCGCCACCGCCACCACCGCCACCACCGCCACCACCACCACCACCGCCACCACCGCCGCCACCGCCGCCACCGCCGCCACCGCCGCCACCGCCACCGCCACCCCCCCCACCACCACCACCACC